CAGCTCTATTTTCTATGGTACAACCTAGAAATATTTTGTAGGTTCGTGTTGTGTAAAAAGCATTTTTTTCTTATAAAGTATTTTAGCATTAATGTTGAAAATATATAAAGCATGTTTAAAGTGGAACCGTCCTGTAGGCTTTGCCTTAATGTCGTGAACGACGAAAATCTCGTAGTAATAGAAGAAATTATTAGAGGTTCTAGATGTTCTTTTGCTGAAACTAGTAAGAAATACCGCTGCGATTATTAGACATTACTTATATCATTCACATTTTAGCACGAAAAAGAAAAGAACAAATTTATAGTGTGCAATGCCTGTTCCGTTAAACTGTTTGCGGCATTCAATTTCAAAGCAACGTGTACGGATACCGAGGACTGTATCTTTCCATACATCGATTCTGAAACGAGAACGCCGGTCGACCTAAGAGAAATTTATCTAAAAGAAAGAGGTAAAGAGCATTTAAAAGATATGCTGGAAGACGAGAGGATTTGTCGTTTGTGTATGCAAGTGGTCACCTGTGGATTTACTTCAGTAAAAGAATTGGATGCCGATACACTCTGTCAATATATTGCAGAAGTGGTAAATACATTATTTTTTATTGAAACAAATTTTTGTTCGAATTATATTCACGTTCATACCAGAAAAGAAACTGAAATTGATTTTTTCTTGCAGAACTTGACTTCCACCACGGATCCCGTTATGTGCAAAGCTTGCATCGATTCTTTGGACACCCACACAAGTTTCTTAAAGGGTTGTTTTAATGTGGAAGGGAAAATTAAAAATATTTCTGTCGACAAAACCGTAGAGTCTATTTCATATTATCACAGAAAAAATTGAATTAAAATCTGAAGATTATAAGTAAGTTCAAAGACTTTTCAGTTTTCTCTTTAGATTTGTTATTCATTTACAATGATCTGACAATTTCATATTATAGCTTGGTGTGAAATCTTTAAACATATCAAATATGATGTAGGTGTTTTGATCAAAATTTTTCATAATGATAGCACTCGTTTAAAAAAAATGCAAGAGTCAGGGACCAAAATGAGCAGCAAATGATCAAAACGGCCAATTTTTTCCGTTATTCAGTGATTTTAAAACCGATATACAGAGTGTGACATCTTCATGAAAAAATAGTGGGGTAGTTCATACGAAGCCTTCATAAATGTTTAAAAACCACGTGATCAGTAATTTTATTTCCTTCACGTTGGCAATTTAAATTCTGGTAAAAAAAACAATAAGATCAAGACTACGTGAAAACGCAACATTTGGTGTTACCGCATAGTGATTGGTGTAATTTTTCACAACATTTCATTCGACCAATCAGCGATCGGATTATCTGGAGTGTAGACACAATGGTTTCTTACTGTTTATCGTGAACAAATCATTATGACCGATGGCGCTAAATTGACATTTGTGCATTTTTCAATGGCGTCTGTGGTCCGTACTTATTTTCGTGGTGCCATCGTTTTATTGTTTCTTTGGCTTCAATATTAACTCGTACATATTTCAAATCAATCCGTTGTTTTCGAAAGGAAGACGGCAGAAGTATTTTAAAGATTTTTTAATTGAAAGGTTACGTTGCTATTTATTCGGTGAAATATCTCAACACATTTTCAAAATACTTGACGAACAAACAAGTTTAACTCCATCTTCCTCGAAAACAGTACGTCCTACGGAATCGCGACTAGCTTACCTTTTTTGTATCAATCTTTGGGGTTTTTAAAACGGTTTGAAAATTTAAGAAATTTTGACTTTTAACATACTTTTTTCTTAAAGCCTTCAAGCCACCTGTATGTGCGTCCCTGCTTTTCGTAATAAAACGGTTTTCACGTTTTTTTTAACGTACGGTTCACATTGACTCGTGCACAATTTTATCTTTAACAATTTTAAAGATTAATTAAGAAAAATCTTATATGTAACTTTAACACCCTATATCTCGGAATTGTGACGAAACGAAAAATGTTATATGAACTACCCCCCTTATTTTTTTATGGGGAACTCACATTCCAGTTTTTTAAGCCTAACCGGGACACCCTGTATGCAGGGGGTTTCGCATAAGAACGGACACAGAGCAGGGGAACCGAAAATATGGTGATTAAATGCAACTTACCTTTATACTAAGCTAAGTAATTGAAGCGTTTTAAAGGGTTGATAAGGGTTGAATACATAAAGGAGAAGAATTCTTCTATTGGTAAACGTTGGTTATGTTCAACATCTTTTGAAGGTACAAGCCTACAAGAATCTTTTTGTATAGAAAGTAGGATTGATAATCCTCATTTATCTTTAAAAGAAGAGAATATGTACCTAAAGCAACTTATAAATGAATTACGGAAAAACAATTTGTTACTAAAACAAAACAAACCGTTATTAGAAGAAAAAATTTCAGATATACGAAAACAACTGAATAAAAAAAACAACACAAACAATAATTCAGATGTCAGTGCTAGCGAAAAGGATAATATTTACCTCTGACAATTCCCAACAATCGAATGAGTCCTCGGTCTGTATCTCTACCAGATGGCCCAAATAATATTTCCTGAACAAAGTAATTCGTTGGCTACAAATAATCGACCAAATAATAATGATCGATCCACATCTACTTGGGCTCAAATAGTGTCCGATCAACCTGTCACGGAACGAGTGTTTAAATAAAAATTATGTTTCAACAAAACAGCCCATCTTTATAGGAACGGGAGAGTGGGATGAACGAAAGTTTCGTTGACACAGAAGATAAATATAAAAAAGTGTGGTTATTTTTGTCTAAAGTGCCAGACAAAACTGACATGGCAGGGACATGTAGGGAAAATACGGTGATTTAACGCAACTTACCTTTATACTAAGCTGCACTTTTGAGATAGGCCTTGAAAGTCGAGCTTAAAATTTTGAAAAAATCAATATCTCAGTTATACTTGAACTTTGAAAAACCAAATCTGGTACACTGTGTGAGTATACATGCCCTGCTCCGTATCGGTTCTTATGCGAAACACCCTGTTTTGTATTTTAACGCTACTCACCTCTGTGCTAAATTGCTTCGTTTCGCTAAATGAGATCAGAGTTGGCAAAACATTTAAATGAAATTTGTTGTGCAAGTACTTGGGTATAGATCTCATTTGACATAGTAACAAAAGTAATTTCATTTGGAGAAATCGAAAAAATACCCACACATATTTTTTGACGGTAACCTTATAATTTCAGTTCTTATTTTTCTCTCTAGTATTCTTTTCCTGAACTTCATAGAGATTTCACTTAATTATTTTCATGATCATCATTAACATATTTAATTTCATCATAAAATGGAAATAATGCAATGTACAGTTCTGACACTTATAAATGAATTTGGCATTACCCGTAACCCCTTAAAATTTAAACCTTGCTTTGGAAAATGCTCTGTATATGTAATTTTTTCAGCGACACGCCACTGGAGACCTCCGATGATGAACCATTCCAAAAGAGTGACTGTAAAGATACAAAATAGTACAAGTGCAAAACGTGCGATTATAAAACTGAAAATAAGAAATTACTGCACAGGCACCAATTGAGGCATAAAGGTCCCTCGCAGGTCCAGAAGTACAGGTGTAACGACTGCGATTACAAAACTAAAAAAAAGAGCCATATCAATCAGCACCAACTGACACATAAAGATGCTTCACAGGTTCAAATGTACAGGTGTAACAATTGCGATTTCAGAACTAAATATAGGGGTAATATCAAAAAGCATCAACTCACACATAAGGATCCTTCTCAGGTTCGAACGTACAGGTGTAACAATTGCGATTACAAAAGTAAATACAGGCATAGTATTGAAAGGCACCAACTGAAACATAAAAATACTTCCCAGGTTCAAATGTACAAGTGTAACGATTGCGATTATGAAACCAAATATAAAAGAGCTATCAAACGGCACCAACTGAAGCATACAGATCCATCACAGGTTCAAATGTACAGGTGTAACGACTGCGATTACGAAACTGTATACAGAAGTTATATCAAACGACACCAACTGAAGCATAAAGATGCTTCACAGGTCCAATCATACAAGTGTAACGACTGCAATTTTGAAACTAAATTTAAGAATAATTTAAAAAAACATCAACTGACACATAAGGATCCTTCTCAGGTTCAGATGTACAGGTGTAACAATTGCGATTACAAATCTAAATACAGGAGTAATATTAAAAAGCACCAACTGACACATAAAAATACTTCCCATGTTCAAATGTAGAGGTGTAACGACTGCAATTACAAAACCTGATACAGGAGTTGTTAATTTATGTCTTAGATTAACAAATTTTAGGTAGTTGAAATGAAAGACATGTTGATGGTTCGAGCGGTGTAAGGAAACTGAATTTATTTTATATTTTCTAGGTTACACATTATAAAAAGACAGCTGACATCGCACACAGCAGTGTTGCCAATGTGTACATAATGAATACAGCTACTAACGACTAAGGTTAGTCATGTGATATCCTCCTTTTTATGGTTGAAATATTTTGGAAGTTTTGCAACATTTTTAAAGTCCAAGATACTACAACCTTCAGCAACTGTAACGTGTGTTAGTAACTCCAGTGTACAATAGAGAAGCCTATAACTAATATCAAAACCTGTGTTTAATTTAATCAGCCCTAGATCCCCACAAGAAAGTTGTATTTTGAAATGTTACAAGTCACAGCAATTAGTCAACAAGATAACTAGTGTGATCAAAGAGTTGCACTTCCAAATGTTTAAATGTGCTTAGTATTCTTATGAAAAGATCTACAGAGTATTACATAACGTTTCCTGTTTACATAAAGCTTATCTGTCAGTTTCCCTACTTATTGCTATTTGTCAAAATATCACAGTTTTTTTTCTACTTATTATAGTATTATATGCTATTTATAAGGTCTTACAATTACAAACAGTTAAACGTATAATGTACAGACAAACATACAGGTTTCAGACAATTTAACAATTATTTTGCTCTGTGTGATCTGAGATGAGATTGGAGATGTGTATCTCGGAAACTAAAGATTTAGTTTATCTGGAGGTTTTGATTTCCCACCAGATTTAGTTTTAATGGTAACAGAATTGGTGGCAGGGTTATCCTCCCTTTTTTGGAAATCGTAAGAAGTTTTGTTTATGTCAAAAGAAGTGCTAGGAAGTTCTAAATCTAAAACAAAATTATCGTCAGTCTTTTGAGATTTTTTAGCATCTTCCAGAAGTTTTTTACTTACAAAGCCTTCAAAATCAGAATTGTTGAATGAGTTATTTACAGTTAAGGTAATGTTTTTGTCAGGTGGACTCGAAAAGCTTGAGTTTCCACTGAAAATTGTCTGAACTTTCGCTACAGCTACCAAGAAAAGAGTTATCATTATTGTTTCCCCGCTCCAATGACATACCTTCCTTTTCCTTGTTATTATCATTAATGGATGTTTAGTTTTCCAAAGCATGACTTTCACTTTCCACCACTCTCAAAGCTTTACTTGAAAGTTGGAAATTACTTTCTGAAAATAGACTAGGGTCAGTCCCTGTTTGATAAGAATTTTGAAAATTTCTTGAAAAAGTTTTTGATGCACAAAATTCCCTAATGAATTTTCTGTTGCGCCTGAAAATAGAGCCGTTTTCTAATTGAATCAAATATGAACGAAAAGGTAATTTTTTTAAAATTTTTCCATCTTGCCATGGCGTATTTGGCTTAATTTGAATCTTTACAAAAGTATTGACTTTTAAAGGTAGTAAAGATTTTTTGTTTTTCTCAAAGTATTTTTTCTGATTAGTTTGAGTTTTCAAAATGTGTGAATTAAACTTTTTTCTATTAAAATTTTTTGAAAACTTTTTATTTATCTCAGGAATAGTGGATCTTAAGTTCCTGTTCATTAGTGCGTTAGCAGGAGAGCTTTCGCCATTCAACGGTGAGTTTCTAAAATTTAATAGTGCTAAATATAGATCCTTTTTGTCCAGAAAACATTTCTTTAAGAGATTTTTGAAAGACTGAACAGTTCTTTCAACTTGACCGTTCGACTGAGGATACAAGGGAGAAGAAGTTATGTGCTGAAATTCCCAATATTTAACAAAATTTTTAAACTCAAAGCTGCAAAAATTTGGACCATTGTCGGTCATCAAGGTCTTTGGAATACCGAAACGTGCAAAAACATTTTTGAATTTATTAATTAAATTTTGAGAAGTTACATTGTTATTTAAATTAATAACCTCTACAAACTTGGAATAGTAATCAATGATTAAAAGATAATTTTGTAACTGAAATTGAAAAAGATCCGCAGCTACCTTTTGCCAAGGCAGTCTGGGAATGTCGTGAGTCTTCAAAGGCTCCGAGCCCTGAGATCTTCGATGTGTCTGGCAGATGTAACATGATGTCCTCAATCTGTTTTCGCATACCTGGCCAGAAAAATGACAAATTTGCCCTATCCAACGTTTTCTTATAGCCTAAATGTTCATAATGAAGTTTCTGGAGTATTTCTTGCCTAAGAGAAATTGTTAAGATTTTATAAATCTGTAGAGAAAATTGTAAAAAAATTGAAATAAAAAAAATTACGGGCCGAAAACCCCCTTCACCAACCTAAATGGGACGCATATGATTTGCATGTCGAAAAACGGAGTAGCCCATGTTATTTAACGTAAAAAGTTATGTAAGACCCATAAATTTTTTTCTATTTATTTGCGACCGTTTTGTCAATAACAGAAAAAACCAGTTTTGTTTGAGCCCTTTTAAGGGCATATAACTTCCTAAGGGTGCGTTTTAGAGCACATGTTAATAGGAACTTTTTGGCTTATTTTAATGAGTTATAAACACAGCAAAAGTTTGGAACCCTATTTTAGGAACACCCTGTGCAGGGTGGTCCGAATTTTATGCAGGAAAATTTGAGGGCAGATCTCTTTAAAATAATAGGTGTTTGCCTTATAGGTCTGGAACGGCCTCGTTTTAGAGATACAGGGTGTTGAAGTTGTTAAAAAAAATTGATTTTTTGTTTATATCACTGGAATCTATTAACCAATCTCAATAAAATTTAGAACAGATAATATATGATAGTAGGTCTTGTATTCCCTAAAATATGAGCACTAAAGGTCCAACCAGTGGTGTACAACTGGACAGGGTAACCCCTTTTTTTATAAAAAAAACTACGCCACTGTATTTTTTACAAGCCGTTGTAACGGATTTATATTCTAATGCACAAAATACGTAAAAAAGGTAACTGTAATTTTTTCCCTAAAATTCACCGTTCTCAAGTTATTCATACCAATACAATCCCCTTGTGGCAGACACTTCTAATCGTAATATTACAAGAATATTTATGTTTATGTCTAAAAGCAAGTGCAATTTGTAAACACGTCAACAAAATTCTTTACACTCGTCGCTTTCCTCTTTTTGGATTAAAACGATATTTGGAAAATCACGCCGACGCAATGAAAGGCACAGAAATTAAATTTTAAGAGCATTTGACGACGATCTTCGGCTAAGTACCTACACGAAGAACGTCTCGGTAACTTGGGGTGAATAAATCGAAAATTTGAAAAGTTCTTTCATTCTTTATATCTGGATATAAACGGATGGTGCTGCTGCGAATTTTATGAGAATAATACGAGAATGGCTTAATTAAAATTATATGGGGCGATGGATAGGTTGAAGACCAAATGCCAATGTCAATCATAATGGTGCAGAGGGTCCAGTGTCTTGGCCAGCCAGATCGCCAGATCTAAACCCCCTAGACTTACATGTTAGGGATTACCTATCTGAAAAGTAAAATTTACTCTACTCCAATAGATACAAGACCACAACTACTATAGAGAATAGAAGACGGGTGTAATGAATTATATGTAAACCACCACATGATATTAGTTTCAATTAGGTAGTTCCATTAATAGAAATGTATGGATGTGGATTTTGTGTGGTGTTTTTTGTTTAGTTGTTGTTACTTGGTAAATGTATTTTTATTATTATTTTGATTCAAATTCTTCTTATTTGTAAAGACGGTGGAGTAGGTCTCCAGGGGAAACTAAAACACACCAGGAACACTACCTCACAGGTGATGTGGAAAGAATTTTGTTGCTCTGCTTACAAATTATATTACATACTTTTAAGCATAAGCATAAATATTCTTGTAATATTATGGTTTGAAGTGTCTGCCACAAGGGATTCTTAGGGAAAAATTCAAGTTACCCTTTTTTACGTATTTAGTGCATTAGAATATAAATCCGTTACAATAAATTATAAAAAATACAGTGGTGTAGTTTTTTTTTATACAAAGAGGGTGACCCCTGTCCAGTTGTACACCACTGGTTGAACCTTTACAGTTCATATTTTAAGGAATGCAAGGCCTACTGTCATGCATTATCTGTACCAAATTTCAATGAGATCGGTTAATAGATTCCAGAGATGTAAACAGAAATTCAATAACACCCGGTATCTCTAAAACGATGCGTTCTAGACCTATGTTTATAAGGCAAACACCTACTATTTTAAAGAGATTTATGTGCCCTCGAAGTTTCCTGCATAAAATTCGGACCACCCTGTATATTTCTAAACAAGTGACTTCTGCTCAAGTGCTACAATAAATGATGAAAAAAAGAATCATTACTGTTAACTAACATAGTTGTCCGATATGGAACAGTGTTATAGTAAGATCACGGTACGGTATTATAAAATTAGCATGTAGTTAAATTTTATTTAATTCATTCAAGCCTACAGTACAAAAACTATAATAGGGTTTAAATCTCATTTCTAAGTCTTGAAATATTACTAACAAAATACAATACTTGTGTTACTTACAGCTGCCTAAGAGTGAGAATTAATTCGTGAATAAATTCAAGAAGTTTTTCATGAATTAACCCATCGGTTTTTTCATAAAAAGTTTGGTTTTACATTGTTCTAAACTTTGTGAATTTCTTTGAAACAAAACCAATAATTACTACCAACTTTGCAGGAAAGTCTAAATAAATAAGGACACATTGAAAATAAACACATTTTCGTGAATAAATTGAAATAACATTAACAAATAACAAATAAAATTGTAATCGTACTTTGCCACAACTCTAAATACAGCTTTTTCAACATACTTTTAAATGTTTTTAAGTTTGTTGCCATTTTTACATTTTTTGGAAGATTATACAGCTTTAGCTTATGTTCAATTTTATAATTTAGAATTAAACACGATTGCTCAATAAACTTATCTATAGAAAGCCATTGCAGTCGAGTTCTCATATAAACTAAAGGTGTGTATTTACTACATGAAAGAATAATTTTGACAGGTTTGTTCTGTATCTAAAATCATACATTTAGTCTTTGTAGCATTTAATTTAAGTTTATTATTGCACAACCACTTATATAATTTGCCAAGCTCATTGTTCATTACATTAGTTACTTCTACCTGATCGTACTCTGAAACCGATATCAATGTGTCATCTGCAAATAAATTTATTAGACCCTTATCCAAAACCTCACTTATATCGTTCATATAAATAATGAATAATAATGGTCCGAGGACACTTCCCTGGGGGACCCCAATATCGCTTGTAACTTTCTTTGATCTTTTCCCTTTAATCTTTGTACAATGGTAACGTTTACACAAATAACTATGCAGCCATTCTAATGCTTTGCCTTTAATACTAACCGCGCCAAGTTTCTTAAACAACCTCACACGATCAATTGTCTCAAAGGTGCGTTGTAAGTCCACAAATACACTCGAGATCACTTTACCATCGTCGATATCCTTTGTCCAACTCTCACACACCAGCGGCTCACAGGAATGTTTTTCCCGGAAACCTGACTGGCCCTTAAAAATTATTTTATTGTCTTCACAGTATTTCCTAAGTTGTTCACATACTACAATTTCAAGTATTTTCTCTATAACCGGTAGTAAATTGATTGGTGTAAAATCTGCTGGTTGTGCGGGAGATACTATTTCAGGCACAGGAACTATAACACTAATTTTCTACCTCAGGCACGACACCCGTAGCTAATGATGTATATAGGGTGACCCCATTAAGAATGGAAACACTCGCGTACAAAAGTTGTTTATGGACCGATTTGAACCGGGTTTTTTTTAAAAGATAGACCTCCAAAAGCTCTATCTTGATGCAAAATTTGAAGATGAAATTTTGATTTTCAAGGCCTACTACGAATTTTTTTAAGTGAAAAATAGCAAAATTTTGTTA